AGTCGAAGGCCTTCACACGCCTCACAATCTCGCGAGCGTCCTGAAACTTAGTGCACACCACTACACTCTTGGGCGACATCTCGAGACCTGCTTCGTGCATGCTGCGACATGTGTCCACTAAACAGCTGACCAATTGCCTGCGCATGCTCTGTCTGGAGATTGTGACCGATTGGCTGAGATCGTCTAGCCACAGGCGTTGGAACATCCGAACATGTGCTGTGGTGAGCCTCTGCATGATGTGATACGTGGCGCATTTGGCGAACCGAGTTCCTCCTCGGAGCCCCTGCACCGCCGAGCGGAGCGGTGCGAATGGCTCCGGGCATGCGCCTCCCTGCCGCAGACAACGAGCCGCCATGCACTGCGGCAGCCCAAAACTTCAGCGGGCAACTCCAGCCGCATGGCCGCCCTGCCAAGCTGTAGCCAACCGATGGAATCATACAATTTGCTGGTATCGAGGAGCCCGTTGCCACGATGCATCTGAAGCCTGGCTGCGAGCTCCTCGCCGATCGACCTGGGAAATACTTCCCGAACTGCCGCGTTGCCCTTGATGGCCGCGCCCCAGTGCGCCTCGCAGTCTGAGGTTCACTTCTTGACATATCGCTCGCGTGCCTAAGACCAAACCCTGGACTACTGTGGAAGAAGTCCGATGGTTCTGTCTCCCGGTACCTTCTTGGGAAGCAGGGTGCCGATAGTGAGGGGGGCCTGATCAGGCCAAGTCTGGGTGGACTCGCAGTCTGATGCCGATAGTGGGGGGGGGGGCTGATCAGGCCAAGTCTGGGTGGACTCGCAGTCTGATAAAATCATGATCATTGTTTGAATGGCCTCATCAGGTAGACGTAGAAGGTCGTGCGAACTCAACCGGTCCACTCCCGTAGCTGCAGAAGACTTGGTCTGTCCTAACGCACTGATGATGTCAAGAATGGTGAAGTCTGGCGAGGCTTCGTCGCGTACCCTGTCGCGTATCTCAGCAAAGATCTAGCAGATCGCTTAATTCAGCCTGTCGCCCATTCGCCATTCAAACTTTTGGAGCCCACGCGTACCCCCCATTCTCTGCACTTGAAATCCATGATGTCCTTGGGGTGTACCAAAATCTGACCGTTGATCTGAACGTCCTGCGCCTCTGGCTGGGGTTCCCTCAGTTTTTTGTGGAGGACCCCGATGGCAGGTGCTGTTTCAGCCCACTCTCGAAATCAATCATAAATCTGCTCGGAGCCCGTCCCTGGCTACGACTGGCCAACCTGTCGACTGCCTGAGCGCTGACACCGAGCTGAGATAAGGGTGTGCTCTGGAGGTTATCAAGCAATTGCTGCCAGTGCCTCCAATCAAATCTGTCGGTGGGCCTGATGATCTGCTCCGCCTGAGACGGCGTGTCGTCCAGGAGGTTGCGCCCCGCGTGATGTAGGATGGCACGTTGCTCGTTGCCGCCTGCCCGTCGAAGATGCCGCGTGATGCTGCTGATGATTGTGCTGGCCCGTGTCCACCAGCCGCTGATCCTGTCTCGAAGAGGCGCCGGTCGGGGGGGGTCCTTGACGCACGACCGAGACCTTGAACTGTGGCGCCTCTCCGCGAGTAGCTCCAGATGGGGCCTGCCGATGGTGCGTGAATATGGGGGCCTCCACGGTTCGGGCCCAGCTGGTGCACAACGCTGCAAGCAAGCCTGAATCTTCTGAGCCGAGGTGGTAAGCTGCGGGGCGGACGATGGCCTTCGACGGAGGGCACTGGGTGGCAGACCTGAAACCGATCCAAGCTCTTTGTTCCTTCAACGCATCACTGGGCACATGGAAATCGGGGGGGCGCGCCGACGTCTCGGGCTGCTCTTCGGGAGAAGACCCCTGGGCGGCGGGGCTCGGGGAGATCGGGGGGTCGGGGGGGGGGGGGGGGGTCCGAATGAGCTCGGTGCTCTGTGCTGTTCGACTGTCTAAATGGCCGATTATCCTCTGGCGGGAGAGAGGCAAAAGCAGGGGCGGCTCGTCCGCCCAAGGGTCTGTCTCCGAGAAGCCGCCCCAGTCGTCGCCTGAGCAGACGGGCCCACGGCCTTCCTCGCAGCGAGTGTCCGCGTCGCTGGGGGCGGGAAGGGGGCGGCAGACAGGAAGGATAAAACTCTCGGACTCACCCTGCGCGCCCTCGCCGCCATCCCGCAGGGGAAACCAGGAGAGGATGCGTTCTTCGCGCGCCCGCTTGGCCTCCAACCTCGAAGTGGCCCGCTCCTGTTTCCTGGCGCTAGACTTGGCCTGCCGCTTGGCGCAGGCAAATCCAGATACCGAGTGATTGACCGAGAGCCAGACGCCGCGATGGAGACACTGAGTCCAATGCGAGGTTTCCATGGCGCGTCGGCAACAGGAACAACTCGACGAACGTACGGCGTCGCTGCGTGACTGACTACAAGATAGTCGAGATGGCAAGGCTGCTTCCCGCCACCTGGAAAACACTTGAACTGCGCGTCGGAGCACCCAGTCTGCCCCTCCGACTCCGCCAAACCATCCTGTGCGCCGCAACTTTTCTGGGGAGGGATTCCAGCCGGCGGCGGCGATCCAGGGGATCTGCAGGGCACTAAGCAGGCGTCCGACCCTGCGGAAACGACCAGGTTAGCCCCTCGGAGCCCGAGCCCTGGGTGCCAGTAGCAACTGGAAAACGCGAATGAGAATCCTCGCATGTGCATTACTACTGGCACGAAACCATCGGACATGGAGCTGCCTTCGGCTAAAAGTGGACCGAGCGAGCAGCATCGGCATCTAGATGCTGAACAGGCCTATGATTGCGAGTGAGAACCCACTCTCCCCCTTCATTCTGAGACTCGGTGTCGTTTCCAAGCGCCTTGTGTTACTGGGGCTTCGGACGAGCTGGATTGGCGAAAAGCATCATGGATGAAAATCGTGCCTTGGACGCCCATGAAGGAAGAGCTGTCTTCCCGACGTGCGTCTCGCATACGGCCAAGTAGTCGTGCGTCTGGGACTGGGCCTCGAGGAAGTTCCAGGCCTGGTCTCCCATGTGCGTCTCGTCTCGCCAGTGTCGCTGGCGTGCTCGAGGTGCTGATTCGCCGCAGCACCGTCGGCTCCCACGCCAAGTCATTCAGGCCCGCTGGCCGCGGCCGTGGAGCCCTGCGAGCCTTCGGCGCGGGCGAGGCGGCAGCGCCAGCCGACTTGGCTGCGGGTGGGGGGCCCCCTTTTACCCGCCGCCGTGGCTGCCGCGAACTTCGCCGCCGAGATTCGCTGAGCCTCCTTCTTCAAGTTCTCGTCGGCGGCGTCCGCTGGCACCTGTGTGGCTGCGCCTGCTGGCGGGGTCTGGGCGGCAGTGGCGGGGGCTGGGGCGCCTGGCTGGGCGCTCGCCGTGCCGGGCGCCTGCGCCGCCCTGGTGCCAGCGCTGCAGCAGCCTGCGCCGACGCCGCCCTCCTCCGATGCCTTGCGCTTCTTGAGCATCCTGTCGCGGACGTCCATCTCCGCCTTGGCGACCTTCTCGAGGAATGCTGTCAGCTCTGCGTCTTTGGATTCGAAATTCTGCTTCCACCCTTCGAGCTCGGACTTGAGCTGGCGAAGGGCAACCTTGCCATTCTCCTTGACGTCCCACTCCTCGAAGTGGTCGAAGAGCTCGCTACTCATCTGTTTGCTGATGGTGGGCGCCGTCCCAGCAACGGCTGCGCTGCTGGCGCCTGTGGTGGGCTGTCCCTGCTGCTGGACTCCCTCTGCCTTGGCCAGCGCCTCGGCCGCCGTGCGTTTGTCCCGCTCGGCCGCCGCCAACTCCTGGGCCGCGACCTGCTCCTTGCCCTCTGCGTGCATCAGCTGCGTGCGGAGGCGCAGCACCTGCGTCACGAGCTGAGAGTGCTTGTTGCTGGCGGCCCTCCACGCGCCATCAGCTCGCTTGACCTGGTCTGCTGCAGTTTCCCCTGACTGCTGAGACAAGGCTGCGAGCTTCGTGCGCTGGGCCTCGAGGACAGCCCTCATCTCCTGGTCTGCGGTGTTCGCCAATGCCTGCTCGAGGAAGTGGGCCAGCTGCGACTGCCCGTTGGCGCTGCGAGACTTCCGGCCTCCTGGGTTCCTCGTCCTCCTGACGGCTGGGATGTTGGCACTACCCTGGATGCTGTGTTCCCAATCCGACTCGTCTTCAAATCGCACCTGCCGGGTGTCACGTTCGGGGCCATGTGGCTTGAAGAGCTTCTTGAAGTGGGCCTGGCAGTGCTGGCACTGCATCTTCTGAGCTCTGATCCTGTCGTTATACTCACATGACTGGCAGTTCCCGCATCGCGTCCAAGGTGTGGACTTCGCCTGCGGCGTTGCCATGGCTCCCTGCTTTTGCGGAAGCTTGTGCAATGGGCAGTCGCACAAGCAAACGTGCTCAAGCACCACGTTAAGGTACAGGGATCTGACTGAGGTGGACGTGTTCGTGAAAACCCGGAACTTCCTAGAGAGCCCCCCCCCCAGGCCTCACCCCCAAGCCAGAATGTCTCAAGGGAGGGGGGGAGGAGGAGGAGGAGGAGGAGGAGGAGGAGGAGGAGGAGGAGGAGGAGGAGGAGGAGGAGGAGGAGGAGGAGGAGGAGGAGGAGGAGGAGGAGGAGGAGGAGGAGGAGGAGGAGGAGGAGGAGGAGGAGGAGGGGGAGGGGCGGGAGGCGACGGGCGAGAGGGCGAGGAGGGCAGAGGAACGCGGCGGGCGAAGTCGCAGCCGTCCTCCGACCTGCGCTCTTCAGCGCGCGGCCCCAGGGCCCCCGACACTTCCCCTGGGGGCAGGCAGTGACGGTTAGGTCGGGCATGTCCTCCTACGGGCGGATTTCGGAAGACAGATAGAACAGAGTCAGGAAACTCACCACACACTGTTAAACAAAGACACGACAAATCGTCCCCTGACGAAGTCTGAAACTCTTCCTGGACACTCCTCCCCTAGAGGGACATGCCCGACCCAAGACGACGGGTGCGAAGGCGGCGGCGGCCACGGAGGCCACGAGGGCAGCGAACACAGCGAGCACAGCGAACACGTGCGGCGGGGGCGGGCGGGGCGGGCGGCAAGGGGTCCTCCGTCCCACGCGGCTCCCCACTCCGCGTACCTCCGCGCGCCGAGGCCACCGGGGCCCGCTCGCTCGCTCTTCGCGTCGGCATGCCAGCGGGTGGGCACCCGGGCGCAGCGTGAGCCACCGAGGTCACCGAGGCACCGAAAGGGCCCATATCCACCAAGGGCAATGCCTGGGCAGAGACAGCCCCGCCTTCGTCATCGTCAGTTCGATCTGTCTCCCCTGGGACGATGCGAAACAAATCAGAGAAGAAGAGCTGGGTCAATGCGGAAGGGAAGCCGGGGAAAGATGCCAATTCGCTCCTCCTCCCCCTCCTCGCGTTCTCCTCCCCTTCCTCCACCTCTCCTTGCTGTTCCTTCGCCATCCCTCCCCCCCTCCTCATCCTCCTCCTGTTCCGCTGACTTCTCCTCATCCTCCTCTTGGGCCGATTAAGAACGGCAAGGGCGAGGACCAGGGTAAGAGCAAGGCTGATGTTCCTCCATGTTGGTCGGTAATGGGCGGCTGGCGGCACTTGTAGCAAAAGGCCTCGTGCCGCCCGAAGTGGCCATGCAAGCCAGGGCACCCGATATCACGATGATTCGGCAAATCCCCGTCACTACTCTCCCACCTTTGAGGCCGGTGAGGCTGTCCTCCTCTCGTCCTCCTGTTCCTCGGCGCAGTAGCGGGAAATCCAGCAGCTGGCCGCTTAAAACTTGCTGATGGCGATCCAGCAGTCGGGCATCGCGCCCAGTGGCTGGCCCCCCAAGGGGTTGGTCGCCCTGGAGGGTGCTGGCACGGACCTGTGCCCCTGGTTTAAGAGTGACCGTGCAACTCACCGACAAGTACACGAATCGAAGCAGGTGGCTGGCCACCCGTCAAACTCCGACGCAGCATGAGGCTTCAAGCCGAGACTCACGTCAGGATGCCCCGCGAACTCTTGCTTTGCGGTGTTTGCTGCCGTCCTTGTTTCCTTATCCTTCTCTGCCCTCTGCCCCCTTCTCCCCTCGTCCTCGTCCCCATTCTCTTCGTCCTCCTCCTTTTATCGTCATGGTTCTTGTTGGTTTTCATCTGCCCCGCATGTGCGAAGCAAAGCTGCATCGGCCAGTTTGGAGCGAACAGCCTCATCAGTTTCGCAGGCGCCTGGGCAGAGGAGAAGATACGCGGGAAAATTTGCGCAAACAACGATGTGGGACAGAGTGGCAAAACACGCGTAAACGAGACAAGCCCAAACGAGCAACATTATCGTCGCACAGTTGTAGTCGATGTTGGCGTCTGGAATCTCCCCCTTATGGTGGTGTGATTCAAGGTAGGAGCTGGTGGAATCCTCCTCCCTTCCCCTCCTCATCCTCCGCGTCCCTATCTTCCCGCCCGTTAGACAAACTCCTTTTCTAGGCAACTCGCACCCCCTCGCTTAATCGAAATTTGCGCACATTGATGTTCGTAAATGTCCCTCCTCTATCTCTGTCTCTCGTCCTCTCGATATGCATTTCATTCTTTATCTCTGTCTCGTTTTCTCTTGTTTCTATATATATATATATGTATATATATCTCTCTCTCTTTCTCTCTCTCTCTCTCTCTCCCTCTCTCGCTAGTTTCTCTGTGTCTCTCTCTCTCTCTCTTTCCCTCTCTCTCTGTTTCTCCCTCCCTCTCTCCCTCTCTCGCTAGTTTATCTGTGTCTCTCTCTCTCTCTCTTTCCCTCTCTCTCTGTTTCTCCCTCCCTCTCTCCCTCTCTCTGCCCCTCACCTCCATCCCTCCCTCCCTCGTTTCCCTCCGTCCCTCCCTTCCCTCCGCCCCTCCCTCCGTCCCTGTCCTTTCCCTTCTCCCCCCCCTTCCGCTTCACCATTACTCAATATGAGTACTGTTCTCCTCTCGCCCCCGATTCTGCACAGTGCCCCCCGCCGCGTATGTTCACACACAATATCGCTCCTTGTGTCTCAATGTTTTATGATACCGGACCGCTTTTGGCATTGTATGTTGACCCGGATCATGTCGGCCGTTCGGCTTCAGCCGTCCAGAAGGACGCTCTCGCCTCGTCGCCCGCCGTACGCGTGGCCCCTCTGCCCTCTGCCACTACCCCATATTATTGTACTGGTCTCCTCTCTCCCCCGATACTGTCTACGGCGGTGGCCGCCTACCCGCGCGCGCGCCCGCAGCGTTCGTCGTCGTCGTCGTCGATTTGTCGCAGTCGTCGTCGCCGTCATCTTCTCCCTAATCCTCCTCCTCCTCCTCCTCCTCCCTCCGCCTCCTCCCTCCTCCTCCTCTCCTCCTCCTCCTCCTCCTCCTCTCCTCCCCCCCCTCCTCCTCCTCCTCCTCCTCCTCCTCCTCCTCCTCCTCCTCCCTCCCCTCCTTGTACTCTTGTTCCTCCTCCTCCATCTCCTCCTCCTCCTCCTCCTCCTGCTTCTCGTAGTCGTCCTCCTTGATTTCCTCCTCCTCCTGATTATCCTGCTCCCCCTGGTCCTGCTCGTCCCCTTCCTCCGTCCGCCCGCCTGGCCCCCTCGCCCCCTCGCGCTGCAAAATGCCATGCA